GTGGTGAAATCTGCTCAGCCCAAAATAACTGGGTTTCCAAGTTCTGTGCAGTACCTCCATGTTAACAGGTATAAACTCAGTCATTTTTGGAGTGACATTAGAAGACTGAAAGCTATTGCAAAACCACATATACTTGCCATCCAGTTCCTCTGTACTACATCTAACAAATTAATCCTCAGTATAGATTTTTATATTAATTTCTTCTTGATTAATAAAGCTATCACTTTAAATTAAGACAACCATTCTTCTAAAGTAGGTCCTGTGCTTCACAAAGTTAGGAATAAATTAATTCCTTCCATAAAAGTCTATAAAAACCTGATCTCTCTCTGTTCAGAAACATACTATTTATCCACTCCCAATCAGCACAAGCCATTTTAAATACAGTGTTGTACTTCTTCTGGAGTACAAGTTGACAGTTGCTAATTAAAAGTCAAGAAAACAATGACTTTGCATATGTCTAAAGCGAAGTCCGGTGAAAGAAAACATATAAGAAGTCTTACTTCACAAGTGAGAGTAAGCTTGACTGTCTACAATAAAGACTGAAAAAAAAAACCTAATGACTTTCCAAAACTCCAATATGGAAGTTACCAATACCAACAATAGTTAAAGTTTATAGCACTTATGGCCCTTTTAAGTGTTCAGACACACGACTCAATACACTTTTCCACTTCTCATTGAAAAACAGACAAACAAAAAAGTCATTTGCAATGATTTCAGCAGATACGGAAATTCAGCAAAGAAGCTCTAAGTGCAATAATATCAGCAGCTTAACAAGAAACAGATTGATGGTGCTATTTCTCTATTTGGAGGGTCAGAAAAGCCCAGGTTACATAAAAAGACTACATCATCAATTCACATAAACATTGCTACTGCTTCACTGAGTCAGTAGCCTTTCTGCGTAAAACCTAGCCCTAACTGAAACATATGAACAGCTTAGTGAGCTTCATTTCTCCCTAGCATCTTAGGTTTCAGATAATGCACAGGAACATTCTGTACCTAACAGTTCACTAAAATGTATCTTTATAATGGGAAATATTCACCTTTGTTTCTACTCAAGCTTTTCTGAGCAACTGAAAGTTAAAGAGTTTTCCCTTATGCAGCTGCTATCTCTTCACGCAAGAGATTAATGAGAATTGTAACAAAAAGTCACCTAAGTTCCTAGGATAAACTCAGTATTTTTTTTTTAAACACTGAAAGGCTTTTGCAAATGCCAGCTATCAGCATCAGCAGAACCTGAGTTTGCTCTCTTACTACTGATGTGTCTTGTACATAAATAATTTGCTTGTTTTTATAGTTTTGTACCATACTGCTAAGAGAAATATGCATACATACATGCACAGTGCAGTATCAACAACACTGTACACCTCTTGAGAGCTCTGAACTAATCAAGTAAAGAGTGATGACAATCTCTGGTTGTATGGGAGATCAGCTCTGACTAGGCCTGTCAGTTGTAAATACTACCCTAAAAAATGAAGTTTAAAGGATGTCTTGAAAGGTCAGGACAAAAGAGTAATTTGTTTGTCATCTTGAAAGTTTGGCAGTGACATAGGGTTGTTGTTCTACTCTCACTCAAACAACTACCATCCTAAAGTATAAAAGCATCAACTGGAAAGAACTATACAGGAAAGGAATTTCCTAAGCTTGGCTTTTTTTTTCCTCTAAACTTAAGTCAGAGGTATCACTTCATAAACTCAAGAATTAACATTACTAGCATTGCAACTTACTAGCATTACAATGTTCACTTTGAAGTCTTGACTGAATAATACCAAGTCAATCATTCCAAACATACAAATGACAGAACAAATGCAGAATCTGAGAAAGCTTTGCTTTTCCTAACTAAAATAAACCTCCTGTATTAATGAAGTTGCCAAGTAATGTTTATACTGAAAATAGCGATATATTAGTGCAAATATAACTATGTAATGTTATTTAAGAGTCTCTGGTCGAAGTATCATAAACACCTACATTAAGAAAAATGATCTAGTTGTTCCATATTTGTCAAAGTTGAAGATTGCTATTATTACAACTCATAGAAGTAGCCCAAACTTTAAAATGTTTTTATTAAGTATTTGGAATTTGTGTGGTCACAACAAAATAAACTAAGAATGAAAGCAAGCAGAATAAACACCCTCCCATTTTCCTGAGGCCAAAAAGCCTAGCCAACTTCAAAGCTGGTTTCTGGTAATTTTTCATTGCCATAATGAACATATGCAAAACTTACCTATAAAGACATTGCAGCCTCATTATACTAGCATTAGAAACTACTTGGCATAACCATTTTCCTTTCTGCATTCACCCACTGCATTTTTCCTGCCATAAACTCTTTCAGTTAAGGTTGCCTTCTGTTATCTACCCCACGACTAACTTAATAGTATTTTAGATTGAATAAAACAAGTACAACAGGCAAGCATGGTTATTCTTCACATAAAGTTTACACATTTAAAACAACAGTGAATAATCCCAAACATTAATAGGGAAACAATAGTGAGTAATCCCAAACTCTTTACATGTCTCCTTCAATGGAAAAAAAAAAAAAAAAACCAACCCACCCACAAAAACCTGAACCCAGCATACAGACATGCCTTATTCTTAAAAGCCACTTGACCACCTACCCATCGCTGGTTCCCTCGACTTATACAGGATAATAAAAAACTAACATTATGGACTACGGAACTGAGGAGCAGGAAGTTTTGTCATCTCAACCCGGAGCCGTCAAAATGTCAGCGAGGAAAAAAAAAAAAGGGG